ATCACAGATAATTTTATTAATTAATATAATTATTAATAACAAATATTTTATTATTTAACTATCTATTTAACAGTATTTCCAATTCTTTAAAAAATTCTATTTTTGTATACAACATATGCATACGAGTACATTTCGTACATCAAACTCGTATGAACAATAAATTCAATAATAAGAGGGATCCAGGATTAAGTTTAGCCTAATCTGTTCTAACTTATCCATTTTAAGGCAACGGATGTATGGAATGCTATACATATACTTATCCGTATATAGTTATCAAATTTATACGTACATGCATCTAGATACATGGTATACTAATGAAATTACCACACATTCATTACCTTAATAAAAACGTAATTAATTCATCACTCACCGACTCGATGCGCAACAGTGGAGTTACATTTGTAACGTCGCTACGATGATTCTGTAGCAACCAAATTAAAATTCAAATTAAAACAGGGTAAAGAACTAATCATTACTTAAAAAAATAATTACTATGTGACACACATTTTTATAAAAAATAAACACGCAATTTTGAAAATATAATATTTATAAGCATTCATTTCTTTCTTTATTATTTAATTAGACATTTATGAAAATATGTACATAAATATGTACTTGGAAGGAAACTTAAACAAAAATAAATTTGTAAAATGTTTTAAATTTTTAAATAATTTCCCTTTTTTCTAATTATTATTTTAAATTGATTGTAAAATAAAATAATTTGAGAACGAGCAATAAAAGATAAATTTTACACAAGTAAAAAATAATATTTACCCCAAGGTTGCTCCACTGGTGCAGGATGTCTCTCCCAGACCTCCTCCTCCTCTCAGAATTGGATTGACATCCTCTCGCACAGGACACTCGCGTCAAACACTCGTGAATAACACATAATCGCGCGTGGACTAATGATTTAAAAAAGTCTTTCGCGTTAGAACTTTAAATTAGAACTTTATCGAATAGGTAAAAAGTCCATTAGTCCGATAACTTCAATGGCAATTTCCAAAGTGTGTGTACGCTCAGTTTTTTATTATATTAGGAAAACGAAAAATTAATTAAATTATTAATTATACAAACTATGGTAATTATGAAAGTATAAATCGCATGAATTGCGTTATTTGTATGAGTACTTATTAATATTGCTTTTTTATGAATCGTGTGATATTGTTCGAAGTATAATCAAGTGTTATATATTTCTCAAACGAGAAAAAATTTTCGTTAAACGAAAATAATTCCTTTATGTCATTCGTAATTATTGCGAAATGGTAACAAATTCTGTTTTCCATCGCATTTTGTTTCCAAATGAATGAACCGTACGAAATATCTGTTAATCCGTGATACATGATCGTCATTTCGATCCTTTTATAAATAATTAATCATGCGAGTTAGTAGTCGTATGCTGCGAATATATTTATAAAGTACAATAGTTCATATTATATCTAACATTTTTCACGATTACGTTTCAAAAGGAAATGTAAAGAAGATCAGCACGCGACACGGCTACCTGCCTGTACGAATGTCGATAAAGCAATAACTACGCGATAACTACACGTAAACGCGGCGTGACGTGCCACCCCGTGCCGCCCGACCGCCCTTCCGCGCCAAAACAAACCCCAAGGCCGTACGTCGATCATCTAACCGTCGAAATGTTAACGTATATGACAAAATAAGTAAAATAATTTATTCGTTACATTTTTAATATTCTCTGCTGAATAAGCTTTATTGCACGGTTTTTGCTTTACTTTTTACATTCGTAACGCACATAACTCATCTATATTGTAAATATTTCAAATTTTGTTACAAAATAAGCAATTATTAGTTTGTAATAATTCTTTATTATACGAAATCAGCTCAATGTACGCAATATTTTTAACGAAAGATTGACATTATCTTTTGTTGCTTTTGAATTGTTTAATTCTCATTTATTAACAGAACTTTTGTTTTATTTCGCATACTTAATTCGAGAAAAATAATACGTGAATTATATATCTCTACAATGTTGGAATATTAGAAATACTTCATGTTAGCAATTATTTAAAAAAAAACACGCCAATAAAAATCACTTTTTATTTGTTACTTTTTGTCAGCACATTAGTTATTGAAAATATTCTTCGGTGTATCACGATATAATTATGGTATTACATTGAACGATTCAAGCCATTAAAACTAAACCGCTAAGTTCTGGAAACTTAGCTGCAGTTTAGATTTAGTGACGTGTATCATTCAATGTAATTATATCGTAGTACATTGAAGAACATATATTTGACATTTATTTTATAATTTCAAACATTTTATATCAACTAATACGCAAAAGGCAAGAAATAAAAAGTGATTTTTATTTATAGTGTGGTTCTATTTTTTATAAAATTGCTCACATAAAGTGTTTCTGACATTCCAACATTATATTTTAATTTTTATTGCTCACTCTTTAATGATTTACAATTAAGTAAAAATTAATAATATTCAAAAGTAACAAAAAAACTACAATGCATCAATACTTCTTTTGTTAAAAATGTTGTGTAAACTTCGCGGATTTTGTGTAACATAGAGTTATTACAAACTAACAATCACTAATTGTAACACAATTAAAATACGTAAGATATTCGTGAGCTGTGTATGTGTGTAAATTTAAGAAATAAAGCAAAAACCGTGTAACAAAGCCAATTAATCGGAGAACATTAAAAATGTAAAGAATTTAAGAATATATTATTTAATATATATAATATTATAATAATTAGAAAAAAGGGAAATTATTTAAAAATTTAAAACATTTTACAAATTTATTTTTGTTTAAGTTTCCTTCCAAGAATGTACATATTTTCATAAATGTCTAATTAAATAATAAAGAAAGAAATGAATGCTTATAAATATTATATTTTCAAAATTGCGTGTTTATTTTTTATAAAAAAATGTGTGTCACATAGTAATTATTTTTTTAAATAATGATTAGTTCTTTACCTTGTTTTAATTTGAATTTTAATTTGCTACAGAATCATCGTAGCGACGTTACAGATATAACTCCAACTGTTGCGCATCGAGTCGGTGAGTAATGAATTAATTATGTTTTTATTGAGTTAATGAATGTAAATTTGAGTTAATGAATGTTTTAATGAATGTAAATAACTTGTTTTTGTATAGCATACTAATATATTTTATATAATTTATTAATCTCGTTTTTTTTAAAACAATACGATTATTAATTATTATTTATCTCTAATGCATGACTTTTAACTTAAACTTTTATAACTTATCCATACAAAGTGATTGATAACTGATAATTTTATTTAGTTATAATTATTTTGTAATCTCGTTCAGTTTTATGTCTCTTAAAATACTTAATTTTGAAATAATTTATACATTATACAAAAAATGGTTCTTTTAATTTACAAGATACAAAGAGATATTTTTATTAATACAAAGGAAATTTATTATATTTCTTTCGGATCTTATCTCATTCATCTGAATTTTTCATCTTTGCTTTTGATTCAGCAATGAATCGTTCGAATCGATGAAAATACGTGTATGGGCTTTAGATTCTATCAGAAGGTAATCGATTCAGCCATTTTCAATTAATTTTTTTAAATTAAAATTTTGTTTATATGATAAAATTTATTTTATGAAATTTAATCTGAATTTTAATATTCGTGATCGTCTCTTTTCAAATCGGAATGTTGTTGACATAACAATTTTTTTTAAATTCTAATAAATTTAATTCTCATGGGGGAGATATGTATTTAATATTATGATATATATTTTTAATAAATGCGAAATTTGTTCGGATATTCAATGGGATATTCGATTATTATTATTTTACAATTGTCTATTTAATCAATTTTGTTAATATGATGGCCCCTTCGCGACACGTTCATGTTTTGCGAATTGTACAAAAGCGTAAAATCTTACGCTTATTGTTGGCATGCCGGCGATGAATAGTCGACAACAAAGAAGAGTATTTCTTCTTGTTGTCGCTTTCTGGCATATAAAGCCAGAATATTGACCAGGAGCAATTAATGTTCAATCATTAATCTTCTGGCCAGAAGAAAGAAGACGAAGAGGATCTATAAAGTATATAAGGTTGAAGGTAGATTAGTGTGTAATCGAAGTATGTATATGAGAGATATATGAAGGTAAATTTACAAGATTTTCTTGAATGCGGGTGGGTGTACATATGGATGGATGTCAGAGACGGAAAGATGTCTCGAATTAAATTAAACTTTAAATAAAATTCGTAAATTAAACTTTTAATAAAATTCTTAAACGGTCGCTATTTAAACATAAATTTGCATATACTTTTCTTAATTCTGGTTACAATCCCCGTCGAAACTATAAATGTATGTAAAAAGAATATGGGTAGGAGGATAAAAATATGAGTAGCTATATATAGATAAAAATCGAATAGATCGGAAATAAATAGAATATGAGTAGGTAGGATGGGATTGTTGTTTTCAACAATAAAATAAAATAATTTTATATAATTTTAAGAAATTTTCTTTAGGCAAAAATGTTTATGTATGTGTACTTTCAAACTAATTGTAAGTAAGCTTTAAAATTTAATGAAATTTTCTATAAAGTTGACCTTTTAAAATTTTTTCGAGATTTTTTTCTTTTAAATAAGGCATTGCATGTAAAATAAAAAAAAATAAATATTCAATCGTGGTATTTTAAGATGAAAATATATATATTAAAAAGATATCAGTCATTTATCTTCATATATAGAGAAAAGTATATAGTATTTATAAAACATTTATCAAATATTTGTAAGACATAAAATAGATCAAAATTAAAATTATCTGACTGATCGAATTCTAATATCTAATTTGCAATTCCAGTTTCCAATGTATAATATGTACGTGTGATGCGAGCTTTAGCAGATTATTATAAATCAGTAATAAGAGAAGAGGAAATGTTTTGTAAAAACAGTACATGATACTTATCAATAGAAGCATTTCCTGGAAGGAACTGATTCATCAAAATAATAATTACTGAAATAATTGCAGACTTTATGAGTGTTTCAGGGGATTTTAATTTAATTCAAGTACAATTTGCGCACGTGCGTGCGTGTAATGCGTGCGATAATAATATTCCTCGTGTTAATTGACATTGAATAACGTTACAAAATGAAGCATACAACGAACGGTAAAAATAACTAAATACTGTTTCTTGTTTTTGTTTTTTTCCTTAAAAATTACCAAGGCAATAAGTCAGGGCACTTGTTGCTGAAGTGCCAATATAACAGTAATATCTGCGGATGTCGATAATATGTTATAACAATCTGTATATACAGTACTTTGAGTATCTGAGGTTCGCGCTACTAATAAACATTTCACGATAAATTCTTACGTAAACGTGTGATCTCCGGTTACGTGTACTTTCACACAAGATTCCACATTATGGTCGGCAAGCAGTCTTCAAGGTATTAATCTCTAAAACGCGCAAGAAGATGTTTTGTGCTAAAGTCAGTTCGAAAATTCCTCAAATTCATTTCCGATATTTACGTCACATATACATACAAAAACGGTCTTAAATGTGTGTTTATCACAAATTTTTTTAATACGACAGTAAAAATTTGAAATATTTGATTGTTTCATTAGTCCGGTATTTATTCGCAAAATTTTCAATAGTCATTTAGAAAACAAATTGAAATTTGTTTCAGTAAATGAAACATAATATTTCCAAATTTTACAAGAAATTACTTGAAGATTATAATTAATTAAGAACATTAAGAAATGGTAACATAATTCTTGACGCAATAAAATCTACAACTTATAAAATGATTGATAAAAAAAAATCAAAAAAATATATCGATGTTGGAAGGACAAAATATTACAATGTTATGCGATGACTATTTGCACATAGTCGGAAATATTTTTGTATCAATATATAAATAATGACGTAATACCGCTGAAATATATCGCGGTTACATGTGAGTTTGTTAATTATTATAAATAGAACTTTTGTAGCATCGCTCGTTATGAGAATATCAATAATAATAATGATACAATAATAATACAATAATAATAAATCACATCTCTGATGTTCTCGTAGCTTTACTATGCACTAAAAGCATCTTTGGTTTTCTTATTACCTTCAATCGCGTGTATACGAAAAAATTACAAAATGTGTGACTTCAGATTTTAATTAATCCAGATCGCGTACAAATATAATATTTAATACTCTTCAAATAGTTCACCGATAAAATTATCGATTATACTCGGTGATTCGGCAATATTCGACTCTGCAATTCACAGTTTCACAATCCACCCTCTCGCCCGCCATTCAACAAAGAAAACAAGAGCTAAAAATCTCCATAATATCCATAACGTGATTAAAGCTCTCTTCGTAACACTTCCGTAATCCACGTTACCTTAAATACACTATGATATGCTCTAATTAACTTTTCATCCCGTCCGGCCGGAAATTATGTCAATAGACGATTTTGGTTGGAACACTGTACCAAGGGAAACATTACTACAGGGAACAATCTGTTATCATAAAAATCTATTGTAGCTTTATTCTATCTAACTTTCTTTGTCGTTGGAAAATTTCGCAAACCGAGGTCCTGCGGGATTCTCTATTGGGAAATATTAATGGAATAATAATAATGAATGTTTAATCAAAATGATGAATGAAGCGTGGAAGATTCGACAGTGCCTCGGCAATAGTTCGCAACGTTTAATAGTAATATCAGCAACAATAATTTCTTTTAGAATAGTAATAATCGCACATATGTATTCCCCAGAAGAACAGTAAGAAAATAAAAAAAAACGCGCAATGATCGTTTCGCCAAAATCGATCGTTACGTTATCGTGTCACTTAATGATTGTTGTTCGAAGACTTCAACTGTCTCGGCAGTTTTCGGGCAGCTTTCGACATAGAGCTTTATCGAGGACACGCGTGTGGTCCACCATTCGCTATACGAATGCAAGAAGGAAGCCTGACGCGGATTGCACTTTAAACGCGGAACTAACAAAGATGGTCGTTCGAAACGATACCGCGAAAAAGTATCTGCAAGGAAGTGCGGTCAGCAGTCTCAGCTTCTGATGCAACAACCGCGTTGCTTCGGTAATCATGCGGCGAGCAAATTCTTTATATTCTTTGGCGTGTTCTCCTCGTTCAAGTGTTTTGTGGTGTAGCGAAGGGCGTTCAGAAGGCCCTCACTTTTACAAGGCGGCTGGTCCTTTAATAGTTTCACACAGCCTTTGACCTGTTAGATTTGAACCATACATAAGATCGAAGGAATATATAGGCGATTCTTATTTGTAGCTTTCTATAATAAATATTTATAAAGCTATCAATAATATATTCTTTAGTAAAGAAATTCCTTTAACATCTCATTATATTCTTAAAAATTTGTCATATTTTAAATTTGTGACGACGAAAAATTTTTTATTTTTTCAGATTTTATAAGTTTCTTTTAGAAATTATGTAACGAGAAATCTTTATTTTTTGAATTAAAAAAAAATGAAATATTTTTCAGAAGTGCTAAGAAAGAATATATTTTTCTGGTATTCTTCATATGTGAATTCTGAAATAGAAGACTTCTCTAAGATTTTCAAAATTTTTCATTATGTAATTTCTAAAGGAAATTTATAAGATCTAACAAAGTTTAAGATATTTTTGTTAATTTTCATAAATTTAAAATATGACAAATTCTTACAAATACGAGATGTTATGAGAATTATTTTCACTAAAGTGATATTATCGACAGTTTTGTATACTAGGAGCATTATATTATTTATACAAATATATATTATATTATATACATATATTATATTACAAAAAACGAAATCAGGATTATTAACGTTGGTTAAAAAATCTTTTTTCTAAAATATTACTACAAAATTTTTTACATACTTACATCCACGTTTGAACCCTTTACAAAGGCACCTTGGGGATGTACATGATCATAGAGAATCACCAAACCTACCATAACTCTCAAGACGAAGAGCTGAGTTTCCTCTCGTTGGAATTGCGCCAACAAATTCCTAGTAGAAGATATTTCCCAAATTAGCTTCGCGAAGAAATTCCTGCTTTTTAAGACAATTCTCTTCTCTTTGCATACTGATGGAACTCGTAGATAGATATACTTACGGGTTTTCCAACATTCGAAGACATACTTTTGCCATTGTACCAAGCGTTTCTGTAATGTTTTCCCTGGCTATGTCTTCGTTCTAAAAATAAAAAAAATATATAGTTTTACAAGTATAATAAACGTAATATCGTGGCAATTTTGCACGTGCGTGCGCGAATTTACAAATATTCTCAATATAAATTTTTTTATATTTATTGAAAAGCTCGCTTTTAAAAGGCATTATGTTATCATGAAATGCATATTTGCACATTGAAGGTAGTACTCAATTAAAGTATTGTTTCGTTATCGATTTTGATTAAAAACTTGCATGTTATATCAGGCTCGTATATACATCCGTACCACGTTTACTTGTCTGTAGTCTATATAGAGCTCGGGTAATTTAAATCGCAGGCTAGAATACCTGTCAATTTTCCAGTTCAGCAGAGCCATTATTATTGCCGACAGTTTTTTTTCTCTGTCCGTCTTGCCATTACATCGCATGTCGATCACGTAACGCGGTTATTTGTCATTGCAATCAATATGAATGAAAGTTCACGATTCATTGCAACAGTGTTGAAAAAAAAATGTGTCAGAATAATTAATAAGAGTCTTGAAATTTCAAATAAAATAAATAGGATTTACAATGTTGACGCTATTTTTCATATTTACTCTTCTATTTCATAACATAGAAGAAAAAATTGAATTGTTTATCAGAATCAATTTTATACATATATTTATATAAATAAATATATTTTTTTATACAATTATTAATATAAATCCAAAAATTATTAACAAATAATAAATTTACGATTTTTTAAGATACACTGATCGATCAAATTATTATATTTGAGTTTAATTGCGATGAAATAAATAATGTTACGGAAACAGAATTATAGAAACTAAATTTATTTCTTCAATTAATCGGAATGATTAAGGGATAAACCGAGAAACTGCCTGGATAACCGCAGAATTTCGTCTAATTGCCATCAGTTAGCATCTGGTCGGATCAATAATTGTCCGGATAACAATAGGAGATCGTGCGGACGGGAACAATGTAGAGAGGCGATACCACTTACGTCTATCAAGAAAGTAATGGTCGCGTGACTCAGAACTCGAAGCATGGGTGTTGCGTGGGCGTAAAACAAGGACATTCGGTTAGCGAGTTCGTTCCCAACAACTAGGTCCTTTTCGGCGTTGTCCTGACACGTCAACGATGCCCTCGTCAATGTTCTACGATAGTAGCTGAAGTCATTCTGAATCGCCGGCGTTTTCATTTTATACTCGTCGAACTTCAGTACAAATTCCAATATCTCCGCCAATTGTTTCACTAGTGCCTGTTGCGTCTCCAGATGTTGCGTCGGTGAAAGATTTCCCGAGCATAATTGTCCCAGAATTTTCGGTACGATCCTTTCTACATAAATAAAAATTATTGTCGAACTTAATATCCAAATTTATTTATGTGAAATGGAAACGTTGTTTATAATTTTAGACAAGCTACGTGTAATTAATCAATATTAATGCACAGTAATACATATATTATTACATAGCTAATTATACGTAATATTATGTAGCCTAAAAGTAAGCAGTACAAAAATTAACATATAATGTAATAATGTCGAGACTTGATAGAGAACTAAATGGCTAATTTATAATTTTTTTTACACATTCTCTCTCTTTCTTTTTCTCATATTAACTTTAGGATAATTAATAAACACCAAAATATAAAATTAGAAATTCAAATATTGTATTTTTTGTATTAATCTACTTTACATGTTTTTATTTAAAAAATATTCATTAAAAATAAGAATATCGAATGTAAAGATCAGTTCTGTTCTAAAATGCTGTTTTCCACATTTTGTATTTTCGATAACCATCAGTATCTAGTATATATAATTAACTTATACCACAAATATGGCTAATAGCATTCCGCGGGTACAGGAAGAAGTTTTTCCAATATTCGATATCGGACTTTTAAGAAGTAAAGTGTAACATCGCTATTTATAAAAAAACTTATCGTTAATATGATTAATCAAGCGTACCGAGTTCCAAGGAAAACTCGTAGAATCGTTTGAGTTTCGCTACAAGAGGTGCCACAGTTAGGTACGCTTTTCGTTGACATTCTTCCGTGGGTGCCGAGATCGCCTCTCTGATTTCTTTCCCAGCTCCTTTGTAACACTGTATCTCCTCTAAAATGGACTCTGAATTTTTCAACACTCTTTGCACCGCCTCGAATGTTTCACGTTCGATGTCCGACGGTTGTGCATCTGTGGAACAGACAAATAGGACAGATCGATAATTATCGAGTAACATATGTATGTCTCTTTGCTATGCAAAAGCTTTTGTTACATCTCGATATTATGGAAGATACATTTATTTCTTTATAATGTGGAGTTATTACATTGTATAGTACAGCTTTAACCAAAAGTATAAAGCATTCTCACAAAAAGATGTAAATATTCTATGTTTAACAAAAAATAAATTAAAACAATTTTTTATTAAAAGAATACTATTTGTATTTTAACAATTTCAATTTTTTGTTTTTCTTTCGATTTTATTACAATCTTTTCTAAGGAAATGCAATAAATTATGGATGCTTTATACTTGTGCCAAGACTTTATTAGTACATAGCAAGTAACACAAAAAATAGCACTTAGAATTAAGATTGAAATTTTTCACGAAATATCATTTTTACATACGACTCACTTTCGAAATCCAAGAAGACATCATACTTCTGAGGGGTGCAACAAGTAGACTCATCTCGAGCCAAAAGACTCAAAAGCTTGCCCATCGTAAGTGTATAGCTTCTTTCGATGAGAGTCACTTTACAACGTGAAAGGCATCTGCAAGTCAAAGCAATTTTACATGTTGCGAATTTTCTTGCGATTCGACACAAATCATCATTTGATCGAACAAACTGTGACACTACAACATTATTCAAAAATATAAAAAAAATTATTATTAGTTATTAATTATTTTGATCAATTTAGAAACAATTTATGCCTACAAATCATAGACTTCTCTAATTTTAGCATCAGTGCTCCTTTAAAAATAATTGAACATATCAGTATTTCTCTTCAATTCTATCCACATCTTTCTTCAATTCGATATTTGAGAGAAAGAGAGATAAAAAAACAAAAAAAGAGAGAGAGATTATAATTCAAGTTCCTTTTAAACCAATAATATAGTGACAACTTCATAAGAATGAGCAGTCTATTCTTATTATGTCTCAGTGATATAAATAAATGAAAACAAATGCTTATTGTATAAAGTAAACTTATGAAATATATGTATGTACAGGGTATTGCAGTAATATATTAGACAGTTGCGCGAGACTTTGCAGAGGTAGGCACGGTTCAGTACGTAATGACAACGTAGGTATACGTATACCATTAAACTTACTGATCAAGTGGCTCACGCACCTTTATATTAATAAAGTTTGCAACGTTCCAATTATGATAGACTTCAGGAAATCTGCCCAGCAATCCGTAATGCCTAATATATATACATATTAATACAACACTCCGTACATATATAATAAGATCCATATTATATGAAGCAATAGACGTACAGAATCCTCGATATCGTTTCAATAAATTGAACCCTTTCAGAATTTTGAATTGAAACTTAAATTATTAATAAAGCGGATTATGAAAAATGCATTAATAATTTATGTATTATAGTTATTTATTAGAATCCCGTTTAAAGAAACTCGATTGGAAAGATATTAGAAACACTGAAGTTAAAGCCCAGAAATTCTTTAGAACATTCCACATATCAAAACAAACAATTATAATACAATTTATATTATAATTTCTTTTCTTGCAAAAAGAACGAATCACAGAATTATATCTCGTAGATACTTGCAGAATACTTGAAAGATAATGTGATTGAGTTTCTGCTTGAGGTTGAAACCGACGCGATGAGTAGTAACTTGTCACGAGTCCGAGACTACAATGAAATTGAAATTTCAGGCCGTAGTTTGAGCGTATATATTCACTCAGAATGTATGCATATATATACATATATGTATATATATATATCGAACCGTTAATTCCGGATAGGCGACATACGTGCACGCCTAGACAACTCGGATTAACGCGTATCCGCATCGATAACCGCGGAACAAATGGATTCTGCGAACTCGTCGGCTGGGAGATGAATCTCGCTGATCATTTTCAGCGAAGGGATCTACCCTCCCTCACCTGAAGCGTTCGCGAAGGGGTTCCATTTAGCCGTTCGCGCCGAGGACACCGAGATCTAACGATGACTCACGTGGGAACGTCGCGATCACGTTTTACGCCGCGCGAACGAGAGAGCAACCACGTCTGGGAGGACCGAGTTCGCTCTTGTCACTTGCAGCGTGCAAGAGAACTTGTGATCGGCTTTACAGCTTCTAAAATTGCGAACGGCGAGATTCCATCCCGTTCCGTCGTGCCGGCGACGTTATTTTCAGCCCGAAAGTACGTTTTGCGCTCGTCATCTTCGGTCGTCGAGCCTCTCGGTTTCTCTCGGAGAAAATAATCGTATATTGTGCAAAGACTGGAATGCTGAAGTTTCCGATTCGTATGGATATGTCACAGTAAAAGCCTAATTACATACATTTACTAGTCTAGATATGCATTTATATAAAATTTAGGAAAAATGTCAACTACAAATAAGAATATCTGTTATTCCTAATAAATACGTTCATTTATTGAAATTTTTACATTTGCTACAACACATTAGTCAAAGCATAATACCGCGAATCATCTGTCACAATAATAATATATATTTCAGTAAATTTGGAGTCATCTTCTTTTATAATGTTTGTTCAATTTTTATGAAATTTGACCTATAAAGTAATTTGATAATGCTTTATTCGAATCTGAGATAAAAAAATAAAAGAGCCAAAGATTCAATATGACGGACAAAATTATAAAAAATTATTTTAATTATCATGAAACTTGGTTTTAAAAAGTTTTTAATCGTGAAGTATTATAATAAAGTTTAACATTGATAAAGTTTCTAGTGTCCTTTTATTTACTCATCTGTTGCTTATCTATTATTTACTCATCTTACTTAAATAGTTTATTGATTTTCAAATGAACTTTTTCAAACTTTGAATTATGAATCTTATGACACTCCTCTTTCATGGAAGTCACGTAAATTGCATTTATTAATTTTAGTCAATGCGCATACGTATTTTTACTTCATATCAACCTTTTTTGACTATTTATTGATTATCAAGGAAGATAAGGATAGTCTTGGCCCATTTTACAAGCATTTTAAAGTAAAGCGATTTTATTATTTCAGTTCATTCAAATTCTTTATTCACAAATGGTATCCAAAAAGAAATTAATGTGCCATTTATCGCTTATGACGTCACGATTCGATATGGCTGAGGTGATTACTCAGGAGCCTTAACTTTAAATTAAACACGAACAGGCATGGCATATTATTAATTTAACGAGAAAAATTTCTGATTGAAAATGAACAAAGCACAAGATTTTGATTATATCAATCAGAATTCTAGTTATCTCAACTAAATGAATTTAACTAGAAAATTCTGATTTGTCTATTTTCAATCAGAATTTCAATTAATGCAACCAGGCCCTTTTCCAGTGTAAGTTATGTGATTGGCATGTACATCTGCTAATAATTGATGATTTATTTAAATTTAGTGTATTTTGTTTTCGTACTTTTACTAAATCAGGTGTGAAAATGTATACTTCTATTTATAAAAGTTTAATTTTCATTGCTTATGAATACATTTATATTACTTATCAAATTAGTATATATGCATACATTTTAACTAGTAAATATATACATTTATATTAACATTTTTATTGTGACAAATACATAGATAATTTTCACGATGAAAATGCGATTCAAATTTGATCGACGCGATCTTAGTAGTAAACTTGTTTGGAAGAACAGTTATGAAAAAAAAGAAAGAATTTGTTTTTCCAGTCAAACTTGATATCTTTTTCATTAAAATTTGTATCTGCTGTTGATATTAAAGGTTGATATTAAAAAAGTTTATAAATACAACTTTACAACTGAAATTCCTTTCCCTTAAAATAATCGATCGCTGAAGTTTGAATGCGATTGGAAAATTGAATTTTTGAATATATAAACTTTTCATGTATCTATACATATATCTCTTACTTTAAAAGTGATACAACTGAAAAAACTAAATTCTATAGAAAGAAAAACTTGTTTTTACAAAAAACCATTGCCTAATCAAATAATATCATCAAAAAGAACATATTCTTTATCAAATATCATTTTTTTTTTTCTTATAAAATCTTGGAAAATCATCTTTTTGAATTGTAATAATTTGATGATTTTTTTTTTAAATCGCCCTTTTTGAGTTGTGACAATTTTGACGATTTTTTAAGTTTTGATAAAAATGGGTAATATTTATTTGGCTTATTCATGGTAAACTCAAAAATTATATTTGTTTGTGTCACTTTTGAAAGCAGCAATATGTACTTTTAAAAGAATCGATGAATAATATATTATTATTTAAATATATTCAGTGTATAGTTTTATAAAAAATAGCATATTGCTATATAATAATATCCGAATTGCCATTAAACTGTAATAAGGCATTTCATCAATAACTCCGAGCTAAATACCGATGTACAACGTAAATAGCCGAATTGAGCTGCAATGTAAAATAAATATTTGCGTTTGACATTCCTCGAGTGCTCTCCAATGCGGAACGTTTGAAACAAGGACTATCTGTTGCAATATTCGTTTATATGCAATTATTCGTGATCTTTTCATCTACATATTTCCTTCTTATATGTTTTTGATAAATATAAAAAAAAACGTGCGTTTTGAAATTTTAAAAATATATCTGTAATAAATCAATATATAGTATTTTTCAATAACAATTGCTAAAAAACAATTTAATTGCCAATGTATAGAAAGAGTTGTAGTACTTTCAGAAGTTTCAGGAATATAACTTTAGCCATAATATAAAACATTCCAAAAAATTGACATAAACGTTCTATATCTAAAAAAAATAAGTTAAAAGCAATTTTAATGAAAAATAATATTTATTTTTGTAACAATTTTATAATTTTGTTACTTTTTCTTTGACTCTTATTACCATCAGTAACTCTTTTGAGGGAATAAATTGAAGATGTTTTATAATTAAAGGCGGTATTAAGCTTTTCTGTAACAAAAAACACGATAGAATAAGCGGGAAAGAAATTATTTACGTTAAAAGTCACTTTGCTACTGAAAGAAAACTTACATTGCTGTAAAATTTCACCGCCTTGACGCACTGTAATTAAAAATAAATACACTTGCGTCGTTCACATGAATTGTTGACGAGTTCCACATCTCTATCTACGCTAATATCCATAATAAGTGCTACGCGCTTGCGAATCCCAACCTAACGCGACATTCTTATACTATTGCACTAAAACAATAAACCGACAATTCGTCTAAAACGATTTTCCCATTTCGATGCCGAAACTACCGTGCATTTGCAAATGAAGAGTAGAGTTCAAAGAACTTGCACATCAAAAATCTCAAGCGTCTCCCTGATTGATTGACGATGAATAAAGTTATTGCGCAAACACACACACACATACACATAATTTTTAGACTACAATTACAGTATTATGAAAATTTCAATCTCCGAAATATTACTTTAATTTTTGTTTATAATTAATAAAAAACTGACGAATTAAATTTCTAATAAACAAATGTTTTCGAACAAATCCGATTTAAATATATCAATTTCTACCAATTTAGATTAACTTTAATCTCGGTTTAACTTACTTTCTTATCTTTGAATTTTAAGAATTTGAAAAAAATAAAGAGTAAATTAAATTGAGATTAA